TTTCCCCTCCATTTGAATCATAAGGGTGAATTAAAATGAACAGAATCTCCAAGTCTGGAAAGTTTGTTTTGGACTTGAGGCAAAAGTAAAAGGACGTGTTTAAAGGAAAAACAAGACAATTATTGCAAGTGTTATGGCACAGTGATAGTTTTGATTATCTTGTTTTTACTATTCCCGTGAAGACGAAATGTAATTTCAATTAAAATTTGATTGCACAGCTCTGTGTGTAAAGGATATCACATTTCATTTAAGCCCATTTTCTTTTCTAAGTAATACACGCACTGGTTGCAAGTTTGTTGTTCAATATTGTTTTGTTGTAGCCCTTTCGTGCTTAGCTTTGAATGAGGTATACAAATAAGTATTTAAGAGTATTTATGGAGGGATCTGTTGGTTAAAATATGCTTGAATGAGATGATCGACTGAAGCTGTTTCCCTTGTATTTGACAATCCCTGGACAAGCAAGGTCAGGTTATAATTATGCATATGAGAGTATTACGTGACCATACTATCGCTTGACCCATACCAATGTTGATATTTTTTAAAATGTAAATAGTCTCATTTCTATGAACAACTTCTGCATGTAAATTCTGTAGGCATTAGATGAGATGTTTAGTTCTTTCCATTTGAGTCTGGTACTGGCCAATCACATTAGGAGTTTGCAAACAGAAGCAGAAATTCTTGCCTGAATATCTGCTGGCTATATCAGAAGTTTTATAGGTTAAGTATCACAGAAGCTGAAGTCTGATTAGACGCAATCCACTGGGTATGGATTTCTATTCGATAGTTAATTTAATACTGTGTGTTTGCCTAGCAAGGTACAAGCAAATTAACTCGTTGCCAAAGCTGGCACAAAGCATTCTTTCTGCTGACGTCATGAGTTTTGTTTTTTAAATTAACCTAATATTTTATTTTATCATTGTCAAAGCATTCTAAGAATGACATTTTACAGTTAAAACAAACCTTTAAAATGGCCTTAAACCTAACTCGACACGTCTGTCCTTCAGCTTGGCGATCATATCGGTTGATAGTTGTTTTTAACAATGTTTACAAAGCATCAGCATTGATATTCTGTCTCTTGCCTTCTTATCAGCCTGCTGATTTCAAGAAAAGTACTTTGCTAAGTTTTGTTTTGAAGAGGACATCATCCTCACCTCGTCTCCGTGTTTCTTTTAGGAACACCATCTCCAGCGGGCCATCTCGGCACAGCAGGTCTACGGCGAGAAGCGGGACAACATGGTCATCCCAGTACCGGAGGCGGAGAGCAACATCACCTATTACGACTCCCTCTACCCTGGAGACTTCAAGATGCCAAAGCAGCTAATTCACATACAGCGTAAGTAGGCTTCTCTAATGGAAAGTTTGTGATGCAGAAAGCAGAGAAAATGAGTGTGATGTAGCAGATTAGGGGCCCCAGTTGTTTTCATTAGCCTATAATGGCGTTCCCTTCATTTATTTCAAATGTGTTAAATGACACGTGGGGGCTTGCCGAGCAAAGATTATACGCTGCAATGCGTTGAACACTTCACATCAGTGTTACTTGCTTTTGTAATTTGAAAATTGTCACTCATGTTATTAGATTTACTTTCCCCTCAGCTCTGTAGCCGGAGAGTTTTTCCAAGAAGCAAGGGGGGAAAGGTGACCTGACATTTAAATATATCCTGTATTGAAAGCAAACCACTTAATAAAGTGGAAAGTTGGCTGCTACTTAGAGTGTAAAATGATCCCAGACAGTTTAGGTGATTGAGATCTTTTATCATTTTTATTGGCATTAAGCTTTGTTAGCTTGAAGTTGTCATGTTTTTCTATATAACTCGAGATTGCCTGTTCCAGTAGTGAAATTATTTTGCTACACGGCTTCATTTAGTAACCATGGCTGCG